TACAGGAGGCTCGATCCAAACCCTATGTGTATGTATATATATATATATAGATAGAGAGAGAGAGAGAGAGAGAGAGAGAGAGAGACGGAGAGAGAGAAAGAGAGAGAGAGTAGAGAGAGCCGCTATATACCCTAAGCCGCTTCGCTGTGCAAAAAGGACTGGCGCGGCGGCCGTGCCGGCCCAGGCGACTTGGTTTTCCAAAAAAATTCAATGTCCGGCTTAGGGTTCCTTTGAAGGGATCTATAAGAGTTCCTACAAGGGATCTAACAAAAGGGTTCTATAAAGGGGCTTCGGGAGGTTCAGGGTCTAGGGTCTAGAAGTATAGCCGCTTTGGACATTAATTAGTCATTAGTTGGGGAACTGAAGCCGTAAGCCCAAAATGTTTAGATCCTGAACTGTTAATTAAAGGACTCTAAGACTGTCCTCCCAAACCTATGTTGGTACAGCGTGTGACCCCTGAACTGGAAGGAGCTTGGAGTCAGACGTATTCCTCCAAACCGAACCCCTATGAACCCTAAATCCTATGCCCTGAACCCGGCCGTCCGGAAAAAAAGACAAAACACTCCTAAAGCTTCAGCCCCAATCAAAAAACCCTCAGTGAACCCCCCATCAAGCACCCTAAGCCCTAAACCCTAAAGCCCCTTTTTTAGAGCCCTGATATATAGATCCTTTATAGGAGCCCTTGCCCCAACAAAGCCCCAAAGAGGTCCTCCTCATCTGCGCAGGCAACATCATCCCTTCCTCCACGGGCGCAGCCAAGGCCGTGGCCAAGGTCATCCCGGACGTCAAGGCTCGTCTAGCACCCTTTCAGGTTCCTTGTAGGGATCCTTTAAGGGTTCCTTTAAAGGTTCCTTAAAGGGATCCTTTAAGGGTTCCTTTAAAGGTTCCTTACAGGGATCCTTTAAGGGTTCCTTTATCGGTTCCTTAAAGAGATCCTTTAAGGGTTCTTTTAAGGGCTCAGGGCTTCGAGTTTGGGGTTTCAGGGTTCCTTTGAAGGTTCGGGAACGGCTCTATAAGGGTTCTGCAAGGGGATGTGTTTTGGCAAAGGTGCGTTGATGGCGTGAAAAGGGCTGTAGGGTAACGTGCATGGCATTGGTCAGGAACCTCAAAACCACATATAAAGGGTTTAGGGTTTAGGGCTTAAGGTGTTCTACTGGAATGGTTCTCTTGATTTTGATAGGGATCTGGAAGGGTTCTGGACGGCTTTAGGGCTTTCCCTGGCTCCACTTACTTGCTGTTTTACGGGTAGTGCCTTAATTACCTTAATTATTGGTAAGGGATCATAACCTACTCTTCTGCGGGCTTACGGCCTCTGGATTTAGAGTTGAGGGGTTCAGGATTGTTAGGCTTCCGGGTTTGAGGCGTGGAACTTAAATTTCAGGATGATTAGGCCTCTGATACCCGCCCCAAAAACCCTTTTTAGGGTTTAGGGTTTAGGGATGATATATGCAAGGAAAGCAGAATCTTCAGGTAGTTAGGGTCCGAGGCTTTACCTGGAGCCTAAGTTGCCTACTTTTTTCGGCCCTAGACCCCTAAACTCGAAACCTTCGGGTTCCTTGTTATGACTTCCTAACAGAAGTCCGTAGAAACCGGGTAGGTTCTCTAGGGTCCCCTGCTTTAGGGTTTGGACACCCTCTAATGTAGGGGCTTAATTAAAAAAATACTTATACTACTGTGTTGTTTTTTATTAACTATATATAAAAAGACCTAGAGCCGGTGTGGATCTCTGCAATCATCGACCGGCTTCAGACGGAGGTCGGAGGAGCTGCCTTTGCCTCGAAGATCCTGAAAGGGAGCCGCCCCACCGAGGAGAGTGCATCCGTTGCGGTCGTCGACGTATGGGAACTGCTTCAACCGAAGAAGAAATCAAAGAAGGCTGCCTCCAAGGCGAAGGCTAGTGGGAAACGGACTGCGGTGTCCGACGCGATGGAGAATGCCGAGGAGCTCATGGCCGACGTCGCGGAAGCGGAGGGTTGCCTCCGGAAGCGGTGCTGGCTCGACGATCTCTTGACGGCCCTGATCAATGCTGCAGGCCTCGTCACCGTCACCATCACCACCACGGCAATGATGTTCATGGTTTTGTAGGTAAAAATTGATTCGAAGCTGTTCGTTCCTGCATGGTTCGTTTCGACGTCCAATCCAACATGATTGCATGATTGAGAACCTTATTATGATTGTTAAGGCCCCTACATTAAACCCTAAACTAAACCCTAAACCCACATTTGACAGGGCAAGCTGACCGGCATGGCCCTGCGCGTGCCGACGATCGACGTCTCCGTGGTGGATCTCACCGTGGAGCTGGAGAAGGTGCTTTGAATCTGAAGCGGTTCCAAGCAAGCAGGGTACCGAGGGTTTAGGGGCCTAAAAAATTGACAGTACTGCGGCAACACCAAAAGCCGTTAGTTTAGGTATGCGGACCTCGATTTTGGAAGCAATCAACCATTTTCGATATCTCTCGAGGCCTTGAACCCACAACCATAAGTCCCCCTAACCGCGGAAGTTTTAACAGAGGATCTAGACACGAATCCATGAGCAGAATAACACAAACCTTTAACGGACAGACGAAGAGCTAAGGCTCTATGGAAGAGCTAAACCCTAGCCGGTAAACCTCGAAAACCTAAAAGCCTAAAGCCCCTAAACCCCCTAAAGCCCTAAAACTCTTAAAGCCTGTAAAACCCGAAACGCTAGAGTGCGAGCTGGCTCTGTGTAGGAGACCACCTACGAAGAGATCTGTGCTGAGATGAAGCACCTTGGTTTCGTGCTTAGGGCTAACAAAAGTGGTTTATTTGGGTTTATGTACTGACTAGGGTTTGGGGATTTACAGGCCTTTTCCCGGGTTCCTTTAAGGGATCCATCAAGGTTTACTTCGGGTTGAGGTTAAGATTTATACACCGCGGTAGTGCCCCTCGAACCTAGTATTGTTAAATTAAAGCAAACCGTATACAGCGGGTATCCGTGTGATCAAGGGGATACTGGGAAAGCCAGGAACTAATGTGGGCTTTGAGGAATGGTTATACCTCATCTTGGGATCTTAGAGGGCTCGATCGGTTTTTTTCCTAAGGGCTTTGATTGGAAGGCCGGATCCCTGCCAAAGGGACTTATAGGGTTTAGTGTGTAGCTGTGCTCAGCATGTCGTCGGGTCAAGGCTCTCCTAGCCGATATGGCGATTGCCTACGAAAGACTCCAAACCCTAAGCCCTAAACCCTACACCCTAAACCCTAAACCCTAAGCCCTAAACCCTACACCCTACACCCTACATCCTAAGCCCTAAACCCTAAACCCTAAGCCCTAAGCCCTCAAAGTTTTTCGGTCCGAGATGGCCAGGGCCCATGAGGCTCCACATTTTCGGCTGGCGGGAAGCTGGGTTTAGGGTTTAGGTTTCCTCTCTTCAAAGCCGTGAAAGGTTTAGGGTTTAACGGTTTAGGGTTTAGGGAGTTTAGGCTTTAGGGTTTAGGGTTTAGGGCCCCACTTGAACCCCCCAACAAAAATCTCAAGCATCTTCGACCCGAGGCAACCATAAGCTGTGTTACCCTCACCCTCGATGTGGGGCTCCAGAAGTGGGCTTTAGTCATAGGCTCCTGAGTAGTTCCTTTTTAGGAGTACCTTATAGGATCCTAGATACCTTCCTATTTGGGATTACCCTATAGGATCCTAAATACCTTCCTATTTGGGATTACCTTATAGGATCCTAAATACCAACCACAAAAAAAAGGAACTACTGAGGAGCCTATGGGTAGTCTTGACAGGGAATCTTGGGTTTTAGGGTGGGTCCTCTGTTGATCGACCCAGCCCTGAAGCTCGACCAGGAGCATACCAAAATCTATTTGCAGAAGCTCCCCATATAGGCTCCTTAGTAGTTCCTTTTTGTGGTTGGTATTTAGGATCCTATAAGGTAATCCCCAAAAGGAACTACTACTAAGGGGCCTATGGGTAGACTCAGACTAGAATAACAATTATTTTGCCCATCAGCAGTAACTGTTTGGAGGTGTGGGTGTGCTCCTACTAATGACCCAAGATGCGACATTGCAAATCCCTAAGCAACCCAAAAGCCCTAAATCCCCCCAAAAGCCCTACATCCCCCTAAAAGCCCTACATCCCCCAGACGCTCTAGCCGAAACACCCCAAGTCCGAAACCCTTAAGCCTAAAACGCTTGTTTTGGGTTTGGGGTGTTAAGGCTAAGGGTTTAGGGTTTAGGGTTAGGTGTCTGGGGGATGAGCCTAAAACCCTAGTGGCCCTAGTGCCTGCACGCTGTACGGCTTTTCCGAGGAAACGCTCTGAGGGAGACATGAAGGGCTACCTGGGCTACACCGACGAGGCTGTAACTCGGGGTTACCGGCTTTTCTGTCTATGTTCTGCAGGGTCACGGTGTAGGGTTTAGGGGTTTAGGGGTTTAGGGTTTAAGGGTTTAAGGGTTTAGGGGTTTAGGGGTTTAGCGTTTAGGGGTTTAGGGGTTTCGGGGTTTTGGGGATTTGGGGCTTGTTGGGATCATGGGTTCTCAAGGGTCCTATCGGGTTTGGGGGTTTTCTCTGGAGGCTTCGGTGAGATTGCCAAACATCTCTTAGCATCGCAACGTCGAAGATTTGTTGCGAAGCTTGCCTGGAGTCCTGGACGGAACACTTCTGTGTTTGGGAAGTGGTTGCATCAGGCTCTAGCCAAAAGCCCGACGTAGACCCTAAGCCCGTAAGCCCTAATGACAACCTGCGACCCTGACCCAAAAGGCAAAACCCCAAAGCCTACAACCCCAAGACTCTGTGATGGCTCAACCCCTCAAGATTTTAGGGTTTAGGGTTTGGGGGTTTAGGGTTTAGGATTGTTTTGAAAGGAGCTTCATCCTAAACCCAAAGCCGCGTTGTCCAACTGATTGTTCTTTGTACAGGAGCCTCCATCCTGGCTTTTGCTGTTCCTTGGGGCTTCTTGTCGTAGCTTTAGTTTAAGTCGGCTGAACTTTCCAATACCGGGTGACCATCCAGACATCTATCTATCTATCTATCTATCTATCTATCTATATATATATATAACACATATATATATATAGACACACACATACATATGATGTATATATATATATACACACATACATATGCATATGTATATGCAGGTGTCTGTAGGGATTGTTCTCAAGGTCCTGTTCTGAGGGAGGCACTGCCTCTAAAGATAAAAAATCCTTGTCGAATCGGTAGCGTACCTTTGTAGAACCTTGAAGGGGACCCCAACTCCTAAACCGTAAACCCTTTTAGAAACCCCTTTAAAGGCACCCAGACCCCTAAACTCTTAAACCCCCAAACCCCCAAACCCCTAAACCCCAGTAGGAACCCTTGAAATTAATAGCCCTTCGACGGAGCGCTGTTGAAACCTTTGGTGAGAGGCCCTCGTCTCGACTGACTTCGAGACTTGCCCCATCTCCTGCACCTTCGACTCCAAGGCGGACTTGATTTAGGGGTTTGGGGGTTTGGGGGTTTTGGGGGTTTAGGGGTTTAGGGGTTTAGGGTTGAGGGAATCCTACACGGCTTTTGGGTTTAGGGGACGTGCTGTTACGAGTGTTGCGCCTGCTCGTTGCTTTGCCTAGCCCCAAACTGGACCATCATCCTCCCAAACTCGACCGTCATCCTGCCAAAACCTGTTCCCTGGGCAGGGCTTCGTCATAGGGTTTCTAGCAGATTCAGGTACTTGGTGTCCAGGGTGAGCGTGCACCACGGAAGTGTCCACCCCAACCCTAAACCCAAACCCTAAACCTCAAACCCTAAACCTCAATCCCTCAACCCTAAACCCTGAACCCTAAACCCACAACCCTGAACCCTCAACCCTCAACCCTAAACCCTGAACCGTAAACCCTCAACCCTAAACCCTGAACCCTAAACCCCAAAGGGGTCCCTAAACCCCAACGAGGTCCCCAAACCTCAAACCCTAAACCCTAAACCGCCAGGCCGGCATCATGCTCGATCCCACCTTCGTGAAGGTCGTTTGCTGGTACGTCTCATGGCATGGGGTTTAGGGTTCAGGGTTTAGGGTTGAGGGTTCAGGGTTTAGGGTTTTGGGTTTAGAATAGCGGCCTAGAGCACGGTTTAGGGGTTTAGGCCTTTTGGGGTTTGGTTTATAGGGATGATGACCATTTCGGAGGGTTTCGTTGCGCATCTTTCAAGCATTTACAGTACTCGGAAACATTGGGGACTAGCTTGCGTTAGCTACCTTCTGATATGGAAGACCCTAAACCCTAAATGTGCACTAAACCCTAAACCGCCCTTCAGGGTTTAGGGGTTTAGGGTTTGGGGGTTTAGGGTTTAGGGTATACTGCGGGGAATCCAGCTTGAAGTTGGCACCCAGTCCGGACCCCGGATGAGGCTCTCTTGGGGTTTCATTAAAGGTCGTAGCTCTTTGGGTAGTTCTCTTAATTAGGGTCCCCTATTTACGGTTCCTTCAAGGGATCTACAAGGCTTTCTATAAGTGTTTCTATAAGGGTGCTTTAGGGGGCAGTTCTCTAAATTAGGGTCCCTTTATTTTTTTGGTCCCAAACGTAGTACGACAGCCTTATAAAGAGGACCCTAAAAGGGACCCTAGTTTAGAGAACTACCCATTTTAGATGAGTCTAATTCTTACGTGGAGCAGTTCGACTGCCAAGACGGGCAAGCTAAATAGTTCCGAACCATAACTCCTAAACCCCGGAGCCCGTATAGAACCTTCTTAGAACCCTTGTAGAACCCTTAT